AAACGTGGAAATTTCACAACTTTTCTAGGTAGCCTGTTCAAATGCCTGACCATTCTCATAGTCATACAGAGCCTATACACTCGCAGGGGAGGCTTCTCCGATGTGCTGTAATTACAGTGGGTTGGAGCAGACTTAATTAATCAAGTCTGCTGGAGCGTGGTAACTACCACACTCCAGCAGAATACAGTGTCATATGTATCAGCATCCCTGGGCTGAAAAATGGCGGCAGAGGTGCTTGAACTTAAGTTTGTATGACGAGCTTTAGTTAAAGCACTCCCACCATCATTTTTCAACACAGGGACGCTGATACATATGGTGCTGTGGGTGCTCCCTCCTCCTCCTACAGCAAGTCTATAAATGCCTATAAAGTTCCTCCTAATCTCTAGCCTAAATTACAGGAAGTATGTGAATTACCAGTGCATTTTTTTTTTTTTTTTTTATGGCATATGCATACAATACTCTTTACAGGCTCCCTCTCCTGAAGAATCTGCGGAAGAGAGCGAGAGGCTTCTGAAAGAGCTCTACCTGTTTGATGTTCTTCGTGCAGACAGAACTACTGCAGCTCATGGGTAAGGCATAGCTGAGGTACCTGAATGCCTTGGTTCCAGGTGGGATTCAAGCACCCGAGCAGACTATATTTTAAAGATGCGAAGACCCAATCATTGGATTGTTTCTTTGCATGCAGAGTTAAATACTACTCTCCATATTCTTACATTTATAAATCAGTGTATTTTAAGGGATGAATTCTAGTTTCATTGATGTGAATGAAAAGTTTGCTACTGATATGAGTGGACCCAGTATTTAACCAATGAAAAAGCACTGATGGTTCAGCCAGATGAGGTGCTGCTTCTGAACAGCAGTCAGCTTTTTTGCGCAAGATGAAGTTTAGATGAAAGATTAATCACCTCAGGTAGGAATAAATACTGATGACTGCTGAAGGCAGAGAGAGTTGAATGGGCTTATGTACAAAGATTAAATTGGACTTGTATCTTGAAGGAATTTGGATAATAACATTTAGGGTATTGTGTGTAATTGGACCTATTAAAATTGCACTCGGAGGCTGCTGTCTCGATGATTTACCCAGGAAAGCCTTTCTCTCAGTTTTAATTTTTTTATGTGGAATTATATTAGCAAATCAAGTATTTCAGAAATATGTGACCTCAGGGATAATATACCACATTTTAAAAACTAATGAAAGTATTTAGATAAAGGTGGATTGTGTAAATTGTATAACGTTTTTATATTTTTTGGGTCTCTTGCATGGACAAGAAGAATATATTGAAACTGCCAGAGAAAACCAATTACAGAGAGAGATGGGATTTAAAGAAATTGGTACGGTAGTTACCAAATATGGGAGAGTGATTTTGTTAAGTTGCTGCTTATGAAATTAATACTAAACTATCCTATGTTGAGACTTGATACACCAGATAATAGAGAGAATGGTGTTAACATACAAAAGGAATCGATACAGGCAGCTGAATAAAAATCAAAAGAGTAAGCAGCAGCTCAGTCGATGGGATGGGAAGGACAGGTATGTAGCTCAAGCAGAGGACTTGGGTCAAAAAAAGATCTGCCTTCCCTTAGTTCTGCTTTGTGCCTGGGTAACTTTGGACAAGTCACTTGATATCCTTTGCTTTAGTTTCCCATTTTAACACGGGATGGATACAGTAGAACTAGTATTTGCATTACATTTTTTTTCTGGATGAAATTGGCTTCATATGTATGGTTGTTTTAATTCACACAGTTAAGGGAGAGCTATCATCACCTATTCCTTTGGTATGCCAAAGGATATTGCTGTATAAAATATTTGGAAAGTCAAGGTGCCTTCTTGAACTATTTAAATGTAGGTGTGATACAACATAGAAATAACAGACAATAGGGAGAGGATGGGTGAGGGAGGAGGGGAGGCACCTTTGACTGTATCAGCTATGGAAAATAAAATTCTCATTAAATGAAAATAATACTTTTGGATGAAACTGGTGTGCTTATCTCAGTCAGTGTGCAGGAGGGGAAATTCAGTCTCTGCACTTGACACAGTACTGCATAGTGGCAGGGGAAGTATGCAGAACTATGACTTTTTTTGCTTGGGTACTAAACATTATAAAATTGGAATGTACCATATTTTACTGTTTTATATCTTCACTTGACTTCAGTGGTGCTCCAATCAGCTAACCCAACTAAGTTAATTTTGTTAGTCACTTTTAAACTAACATGTCTTGCAGTAAGTGGACAAATGGCTGGCATAGATTCTTGTAACTCAAAGCAAAGTTCCCATTGACTCATTTGTTGCCTTAAATGTTAATGATCAGAAATGGGATCAGTATTCTCTCAGACATGTCATCTGGAAGCAGGAAGGTCTCAGTTATTCTTCACATGGAATTCCCATTCAATTTTGAATAAAAGTACTGCAGGATGGCTTCAAATATCTGTCTTTAATTCTCAACATGTTTGAAAGCCACACCAACTTGTACTTGAATGTTATGCCTATCTTAAGAAATTTTCATTTTTTTCCCCCTGTGGACACCTGGCTGTTTCTACATAGATTTTTTGGGATATTTGGATTTTTTTTATTTATTTATATGGAGGAACAGACATTGATTTGAGAATATGGAATCTGCAGTGGAAAAGTCAGGGGTCTGTGTGATATAAAAAGTTTTCCAGCAGATGGCACCATATATAATAACATAGTTTTGGGTTTTCTTCGATTGAGGGATACTGTGCATGTAAGGTACCCAGTTGTCTTTATTGTTGAATTAAGTGAAAATAACGTTATGGACATAGACAAAATATTTAGAAATAAAGCATTTAACTCCTGTCATGCACAGTAAATGTAGCTGGAGAGTTGTGGAATTTCCAATTACAGAACTTATAAGACAGCATGTCATTAGTTTGTTGTATTACATTTTCTAATACAATTCATTGTTCTTAAATTTTTTTTTAGTCTTGAATTGAGAGTCCCATTTCTGGATCACCGGTTTACTTCTTATTACCTATCCTTGCCAGCAGAACTGAGAATCCCAAAGGTATACAAAACCATAGAAAATCAGCTTGGAAATTAAGGTTCTGATCCAGCAAAGTATTTAAGCATGTAGAACTATAGCAGGCTGGGGCGGCTCCATGGCTGGACTCCCATTTCCTGGCAGTCCCGGTGGTGGTGGCTCTTTCTGGCTGGTGCCAGTGGCCCTATCCCTGGCCCTTTGGAGACCACCTGGGACCCATGGGCAGTGGCAGTGGCAACAGGGAAAAAGCAGGATCTGGAGCCTGCTCTGGGGCTGCCTTGCATCTCCTCCCTGCCACCACCAGCACCGCCTCTGGGCCCCCATGCCTGGTGGGGCATTAGGGAGGAGTTGCAGGGCAGCCCTGGTGCCCATGCCTGCTCCCCGCCTGCCCATGGCCCCATCCCACATAGGGAGATTTGGTGAGCTGTTGCACCAGGGTGCTGACCTGGGCTGCGACAGCTCCCCAAACCTCCCTATGTGGCCTGGAGGGCCAAATAAGTGTCCGTCCCTATTTTAAACTTAAGTGGTCCTATCAGCTTTATTAGTCTGTTCACATGTTTAAAGTTGAGCATATGAGATGGTGTTTTGCTGGACTGGTAGCCAGTGGCCTTTTTTAAATGGACTTCAAAAAAGGAAAGATCCATTTAAAAAATCTGGTCCTTACTCACTGGCCTGTGGAGTGGATCATGCTTTAAACCCTGCTTTTCATGGCATTGATATGCTTTTTGTCAACAGAATGGAATTGAAAAATATCTTTTGAGAGAGTCCTTTCAGGATTCCAACTTGCTTCCTAAAGAAATACTCTGGAGACCCAAAGAAGCCTTCAGTGATGGTATAACCTCTGTCAAGAAGTCATGGTTTTCAATTCTCCAGGACTATATTGATCAGCAGGTACAGTAGCATACACTTGCACTCTAACTGTGAAAGGTATTGCAGAAATATTGACTGTTTCAGCCAACAAGCTGCAGTTTGTTCAGTTTAGAGAAGATATCTTTAATTTTAGTGCTGAAATTTTTAAATTAATGTTTGCTTTAGTATATTACAGGAGCAAGATTGATTTTTAAAATCAATCATCATGCTTCAGACTGTAAAAACTACCCAAATACATTTCAAATAGAGATTGGTATAGTGGTACACTAGAAGGAAAGAGATGATAAAAGCTTACGAAAATGGCTATGTAAGAATCTTAATATTATTAAAGTGAAGGAAGCTGTATTGCAAGTATACTTGTGAGTTTATATAGGTATATATGTTACAGGGCATGCTTCTGAGTTGAATGTGGCACAGGTGCTATAGTTTACATAAACAATTCATACTTGCTTTAACTTGGCTCCCAGCTGATGAATCTGGTCAATGTTGATATTTGATATCAACCTCTGTAACATAGCCAGACTCTTCAGAACTCAAACCTCTTGTTACAGTGTCAGATGGTATAATTGCAATTTTGATGATTTTACATCAAGAATAGTTACCTCAGCAATGCAAAATGGATGTAATTACTAGTAGGGAGATGCAATGGGCACTTTATTCTGGCAGTGCACAGATGAGCTACTCATTCATCAGGTCATACAATAGAGAATCCAATCCAAACCACGTTTGAGGGTGTTGGGGCAGCTTGCTCCCTCAGTACTTACCAGGAAAAATAGTTTTGGCAGTATTATCTCTGGAGAAGCTCTAGTTATATCACTGTTCTGTTCCACAAGAGGTTCTGCAGGATGGGGAGGACAACTTTATTTTATGACAGAGCCCAACTAATGGAAAGCCCTTGGAGATCACCTGAATTTGGGTACCCTCTACTGTCAATTCCAGTAGTCTAATTAAGGTGGCATGACTGGAGCAGCCCCAGGCACCAACTTTGACAGGGGGAGGGTGGAAATAACAGCTGCCACAGCAGCCTCACAGCCATGCTAGCAGCCACTGTCCCTGTGTGTTGCCACTACCAGGGGTACCCAGCTGCTCTGTTACACTTCTGGTCAACTCTGCTCTGTAGGCCAGCTGGCTCCTTGCCCCTGTTGGAGTGGGGAAATTACAAGTGACTTGTATCTCAGCTGCCAAACTATTGCCACTGAGAACTTGCAGGCTGAATGGGACCAGAACTGGATGGGAACTGAGGTTAATATACAATCAGAACAAGAAACCTATCCACCTGGTAGAAAACTGCATAACTGGAACTTGCTCAAAACAGTTCCAGTTAATTCACAATAGCTTTTCTTGATGTGGGATAGAAGTCTAAATATTGATACTATGACAGGAAAAAAAGAAGAGAAACTTGTGTAAGTTCATTGGGGAAAAAGAACCTGGTATTAACATGAATAAGCATGGACTATATAAGCTATATAAGCAAAAGACACACAAACAAATATTCAGCAAATGGGGAGACAGGACTTCAATTATTTCAGGGGCAGCCATGCACAGATATCTTGTGATAGAAACTCACCTCTTAGGAAGCTTTTTAATTTGTTTCTGTAACAGACAACTTAATAAAATGTGGAATGTAATGTTAGACCTTATCCCCTGAAATGAGTTGGCACTACTTCCACTTGAAGCTAATGATCTGGTAAAAAAATTTTATAAAGCAACTGCACAGTTTAACTTGGATTTCACTTGTGTCTGTAGGTTGATGACCTTCTGTTGGAAAAAGCAGCTGAGAAATTTCCTTTCAATCCACCTAAAACTAAAGAAGGCTATTACTATCGCCAGATCTTTGAAAAGCACTACCCGGGGCAAAGCGACTGGCTTCCCCATTATTGGATGCCAAGATGGATTAAGGCTACTGATCCTTCCGCTCGCACATTGAAGCATTACAAGTCAACCGCTCAAGAATAGGCTTTCCAGTAATTCCAGAACAGAAATGACTAGCTTTCAGGTGGCTCTGTTTTCTGTAAGAAGCCAGCCGTGCAAGCCAATAAAATTTTTTAAAGAATACTGAAATTTTGACATTGGTGGTGGAGATGAAAGAGCAGGGATGGGGAAAATATGGCCTGTGGGCCAGATCCAGCCCATGACAGGTCTCTTGGTCCTGCCTGGCCCAAGCGTCCCCCAGCCATGGCACATCCTGTCACCTGGGCATGCAGTGGGGCTGGGGTGGCTCCATGTCTAGACTGCCTTTCTAGGCAGCCCAGGCATTGGCAACTCCTTTCAGCTGCTGTTGCCACTGGCCACAGCCCTGTGGTACTGCTGGGGACCTGTGTGCCAGGCACCAACCTGGCATGCCCCACACCTGCTCTGGACTCGCCCACCTAGGCTGAGCACCAGTAGTGGTGGCCAGGCAGAAACTCTTGCTTGGTATGAAGGAAGAGCAGCCCCCTTCCCCTTGTTGCTGCTGGCGCCTCCTGCTGCAGCTGGCAGAGTCCATGCCACGGTGAGCTGCCCTGCATGTCTGGTGTCATCACCACTGCTTCTGGGTTGCTCAGTGGCTGCCCTGGTGATGGCTTCAGAGACACAGGGAACACAGCCTTCTACAGAAGGGGAGCCCAGCAGGGCACGGACTCTGCCGGCTGCAGCAGGAAGCATTGGCAGCAACAAGGGGGAGGGGGCCACTTTGCCTCCATGGTGAGCAACAGTTTCTGCCCAGCCTGGGTGGGCAAATCCGGAGCAGGCGTGGGGAGCACTGGGTCAGGGTTGTGCATGCAGGTCTCTGCCAGTATTGCGGGGTTGGGGACAGCGGTGACGGCAGCCAGAAAGAGCTGTTGCAGGGCAGGGACAGGTGCTGACCGGGTCAGGGGAGTGTGTGTAAGGGGGCTTCCATGCACACCCACAATACCCTCAAGCTCTCCCCCACAAACCCCACAACCACAACCATGTCCTCCCCAACACAATCCCACAAACACTGCATTCACCCATACCCTCCCCTCCACACACCCCTGCAGGCCTGTGGGGGGAGCCCTGCTCGCTGCTATGCACACACACCCCACCACATACACACACCTGCA